ATCCGCTCATCGCCGACATCGACGTCCGGCAGTACTCAATGATGTTGTGGTTTGTGGCCATCGATATGGGAGAGAAGGCCACAAGAGGTCCATCAGGTTTGGCGCTGTCTTTGCGCGAACCGCGGCCAACGCTTGGGCTCTGGCTTTGACTCGTCTGACCCGTCATTGTCTTCTAATTGATCCAATTGTTCACCGATTTGTGATGTTTTCACACAAGACCTATATATTGACGATTCACTGAATCAGTGCTAATATAAAGCAATATTCCCTCTGTTTTGGCAAATAATGGCAATATTGACGACACGTTTGCACTGAAAGGCATTTCTTCCATACAATGGGAATATTCCTCATATTATACACGAGTCATACTTTTCAGTCAAGTCATAACATTTGTCCGTAAATTAACGCTTAATTTATTGTTTAATTACTGATTATTATTGAAATTAAATATTGATTACATTTAATTAAACTAATTATTATAAAAGGCATTAATATTATAAATAAATGATAAAAATAATGCCTTTATTAGAGTTACTGTTTGGAGGAAAACATTGAAACAAATCGTTGTTTTTGTAGAGTTAGTGAAAGTTTGCGTCAGTTTTTGAAAACTAAATGTAAACACAATTTATAAATGATTTTCGTAAATTCATATCCTTAGATCTCGAGTTCAATCGGAGTGACAATCGCTTCAATTGTTTGCAATTCACGCCAATTGTACGCAAGAAGTCGTGGACTGAGTTGTCGTCACTCATAACATCCAAACAGTTCCAGAGGACAGTCTTCGGGAGTGTTGTCGACATTCATATCAACGAACAGTTTGTTACTAAATTACTGTGTGACAAAATATTTACCCATTTCTACATTCTTATTAACTACATTTTGGGCAAGGACACATTAAGTGGAAAGACAATTAACGTCCAAATATTGGCCACAATCGCTAAAAAGTGTGCAAACATTCAAACTATTGACTGTCAAGGGATGACTACATCCAGATATGAGACACACATTCCCAAAGTGTTGAACACATTTCGAGACAATTGCCGGCATTTAAGGGATATTTATTGTGATTCCGATTTATTGTTATTGGTTTCAATGAATAGACAATTACTGATACGCTTAGGACCGCTGTTCACACGAGTCTCTAATGCAAGTTTGTTCTCACAATTTAGTTTAGGACAATCACTCATTCATTTCCAGCGATTGTCACAATTAAGTGTCCGTTATTTGCATATTCTCTTCGATAACACTTCCGGACTATTGGCGAAAAATTTACAAAAAATTGAATTAAAAATTCTTAATTTTTTTGGACCAAACGATGAAATCAAAAAATATTTGTCTGAATTTATAGCACAGAATCAGTCCCTTCGATGTCTTATTGTACACAACATTAGCCATTTGGACGAAATGTGCGGACAATTGTCACGATTAACACAATTACGGGAATTAACACTTGGATTGGATGTTATGAGTGACGACAACTCAGTCCACGACTTCTTGCGTACAATTGGCGTGAATTGCAAACAATTGAAGCGATTGTCACTCCGATTGAACTCGAGATCTAAGGATATGAATGACAAGTCATTGGATTCGTTGAGATTTTATTCCCGATTAAAACGATTGCATTTAAAACTCTTTGCGGCCATCGATGACAAGTCTTTGGAAGCGTTGAAACTTTGCCACCGATTAACACATTTAACGCTTTATTTAAATAAAATTGAAGATAATTTAACGCTTAAATTTGACAAACAGTGGCCACGACTTCAATACCTATGCATTCATAGGGAAAATCACACGATTGGCATCAAGTATTTAGATTATCTCTCAAGACTAACGGCACTGCAAACGCTTGTCATTCACTGCCGTTGTTATAAGGATCTAAGCGATAATGAAATTGAAAACCTGTTCCCCGAAAGACCTAAACTAAAACTCATTGAAATCCATGTAAACAATGAGAAGAAGTCTTATTGTCGTAAAAATATTGTTTAGCCTTTCGGTTATCCCCTTTTGTAATCCATGATCTGATCCCTGAATGCCTGTCCTATCATTAACCCTATCGTTGGCTCCTATAGCCTGACATTCATAACTTATAAACCATTAGAATTATAAAGTATTTATATAATATAAAATTTACATTTAATGAGTAGAAATAAATTAATAATAATCATTTGTTAAAAATTTTATGCTTCATTAAAAATATTTTTAAATGTATGTTAACTGTAATCAATATAAACGTATACAATATACAAACTATAAGTTAAATTAATTAAATTTAAATAATTATTTAAAATAAAATAGACTTTTCATTCAAAGTTTGAGTAAAAGTTCTTACAAATATGTAATGAAAATATGTGTCAATAGATGTCTCATTCGTTGTCAACACTTTGTGTTGGCTTTGAATTCAATGCAAATATAATATTATCACATGTTTTGCATTGAATAACAAAAACAATTCATTCAAACAATCACTTCATTTGATCCCAAGATATGGCACAACAGATGAAACTCATGAAGACATCACTCGAGACCACAGATGATCATAAAATACAAGTATTTTACTACTAATTGTTTAATAAATATTTAATTTTAATTGAAATAATTATTTATTATCTCACATTCACGGAAAAAAATTGTGGTGCATATGAAAGACAAAATCTAGGTTATCAGGGATGTGGGATAATTCAATACAATTATTGTGATGCTATTCACAGTTATGAATGATTGGATACTGTGCCATATATGGAGTACACTAACTACTTTTCATACGAGTTGTAGTTCACTATATGTAGTCACAGTATATTGGAGTTTAGCAACACTTATTCATTATTGAAAGTATACTCAAAAAAATCACAGTAATTTCGGATTCACGTATATTCACGGATTCACACTTTTTAATTTGAATTAATTCAAATTTATTTGTGTGTTAATTGTGATTTGTTTTTAAATTAATTATGCAATAATGTTGCAATATGTTGTGTGCATTAATGTTGCAATATGTTGTGTGCGTTATGTTTTGTGCATTATGTTTGTGTATATAATATAAATACTATGTATTGTATTGATGGCCAGCTTTATGTTATCACACCATATGCTGTATACAGCGTATAACTGAACATATCATTTAAATCACAAATGCAATTACAATCCAACAATTTTTTTGGTCATTATCCTATTCACTTAGATTATATACGTATATATTTGAATGCAATTTACTGTCCTGTGAATACCAAACGGCTTTAAATTAATTTATAGCCGTTTGGTATTCAATCAATTTAACCATAATTTTTAACTCAATATTTTTTTAGTTGTGTGGCACTGTTTAGTTGTGTTAGCATACTATGTAAAGTTATTGAATATGGTCACCAAATATTCACCTAATTGAATCATGTTCACAGATATTGATGTGTTATAGAAATGACTTTTAAAACGTTTGCAGTTCACTCATATGCGCACAGAATGACACGTGAAGTGCAACAGTATATTATTGGTGTTCATGAACTTAAACCAATAAACGAGAATATGTTCTCACTATTTACTTTTTGACATAAATCACGTCCGCTATTAAAAATCAATGTAACCCTTTGGTGCGCTAGCTCACGGTAAATTCATTTTCCGAGAATATGAACCATATTCACAGTTACACCTTAGTTCACGGCCACCTTTAATATTTACAGTGAATTTTAGCCGATAATGTATGCGAAGAACTCAATGGACAGATTCGGTGACGATTTGCTTTAGCTATTATTGTCACATTCACACCGCTACTATTATCTCTCACTCGAAGATCGGTTTCGATGCGAATGTGTGTCCAAACAGTTCCAGAGGACAGTCTTCGGGAGTGTTGTCGACATCACTATTGATACCAATTTTATTAGTAAAATAAGAAACGATAAAAAGGAAATTGATTTTCAAATGTTGGCCACAATTGCCATAAAATGTACAAACATTGAGATCATTGACTGTCGAGGAATGGGTGAATGGGTTCCTCAAGTACTGAAAGTATTGAGAGATAATTGTCTGCATTTACGGGAAATATACTGCAATTTCTCGACAGAAAACGTCCAATGGATCCAACCGTTCGCACCTCTGATCACACGATTTAGCGATAGATTATATGCAGAGAACCGATATCTCAGATATTGTCACCAATTGTCTCAATTGGATGTCCACTCGTTGTTCTATATCTTCGACAGGACTTCCGGACAACTATTGGCAAACAATTTGCAAAAGACTACGTTTTGGTAACAGCCGGACGACTGTATGGATCTGTTGTCCGCATTTGTGGCACAGAATCTGTCCCTTAAAAGTGTTGAAGTAATGAGTGATGAGTGGAGACATGAGAATCACGAATCGGTGACCGAAATATGCGGACAATTGTCACGATTAACACAATTACGGGATTTGACACTTCATTTAAGGGTAAAGGATGAAAACAATTCATTGTCTGAGTCTTTGCGTACAATTGGCTTAAACTGCAAACAATTGCAACGATTGACACTTCGTTTGGATTCCTATCGTTTGCCAATCAATGGCCAGACATTGGATTCGTTGAAGAGTTATCACAAACTAAAACGTTTAGATTTAACACTATTTGAGTCAAATGATGATATATTGTTGGAACCGTTGAAACTCTGCCACCGATTAACACATTTAACACTTGATATCTGGGAAATGAAGACTAAATTTTTTATCAATTGTGAAAAACATTGGCCACGACTTCAATACCTATCAATCAAAGCTTTAACACTAACTCCCGAGTGGTTGTCACACATCGCAAGACTACCGGCGCTGCAAACGCTTGTCATTCACTCCCTTTTGTGGGCAAACAAGGATGCGGTCAAAGATCATGTCTTTGAGGATCTGTTTTCCATAAGTCTTAAACTAAAACACATTGAAATCCGAGGATTTGTTATTAGAAAACATTTTTACCGTAATATTTGTTATAATTATTCAAAATTAAAAGTACAAAAATAGCAGATCTTTTGACCACACGTTTATAAATTTATAATAAAGTAGTAATTATTTATTTGTTTAGTAATTAAATTAAAATTACGGTATATTTGTATTAATATTTTGCTTATAAATAAAGATTTGATAAATAATTGCTAATTAATATGGAATTAGAATAAATTATTTAATTAATATTTTGATTAGAAAACTAATTGAAGAATAGATTCGCGACAATTGTCTTGTGTTGAACTGATTGCCGACTCAATGGCCATACAATAGATCCAAATATTAGTCCCGAATAACACTATTATTGCGTAAAAACAGTTTAAATTTGCGATAAAAACTTTTTGCTGTTATTTAGATATAAAATGTTGACTCAACATTGTTGAGTATTTGTGTTAAACGTATTCACAAAACATTTCAATTCAAATAAATATCTGAATTAATTTTATTTCTATAATTATTGTCTGAATATAATATAATTTTAGTTAATAATTAATAATAATTTATAAATCATTAGAAATCTATTCAAACAATAATTGAAAGTTTGGGCAAAAAGTTATGAAAATATTAGTCAATACAATAGATGTCAGACTTGGTGTCAGTCTTTGTGTTGTTTTCATTGAATGTAAATATTATCACATTTTTGTCACAAAAATACAATTCATTTAAACAATCACTTCATTTGATCCCAAGATATGGCGCAACATATAAAACACACGAAGACATCACTCGAGACCACAGATGACGGCAATGAAGACAAAGACACACAACAGGTATTTCACTAACAATTGTTTATTGAGTTTTAATTATTTTTGTTTTGCATTTTAGTCTCAAATCTATGCAAAAGACTCTTTGGATCGATTCGGTGATGATTTGTGTGCACTTATAGTGTCTTATCTCTCACTCGAAGATCGGTTTCGATGTGAATGTGTGTCCAAACAGTTCCAGAGGACAGTCTTCGAGAGTGTTGTAGACATCACTCTTAGCGATGAATTTATTAAGAGATTATCGAAGGAAAAGAGAAGAGCTATAGAAATGGTTGCCATAAAGTGTGCAAACATTCAAACCATTGACTGCAGAGGAATAGACCTTATATATAAAGAACACATTCCGGAAGTGTTGAACACATTTCGAGACAATTGCCGGCATTTAAGAGATATTTATTGCTTTTTATCAGTGAATAGCAACCAATTATTGCCCACATTTGGACCACTGATTACACGAATTGACAACATTTACCTGAAGGATAAACAATTGCTCACTCATTGCCACCGATTATCTCAATTAAGTATCAATTCGTTGTCCGAAGTCTTCGACAGCACTTCCAGACAACTATTGGCGAAGAATTTGCAGAAATTTGAATTTGTTTACGAATTGACTGATAATAAGGAACAGTTGTCTGCATTCGTGGCACACAATCAGTCAATCAAAAGTGTTGACGTTTGGAATTAACAGACTTTACCCGAAATGTGCGGACAATTGTCACGATTAACACAATTACGGGAATTGAGACTCAGTTTTGGAGTAAAAGATGGCGAGAACTCATTGTCTGAGTGTTTGCGTACAATTGGCTTAAACTGCAAACAATTGCAACGATTGTCACTAATGTGGATGTATTCAACTAATTTCCAACTAAATCTCAAGGCATTGGATTCATTGAGATGTTATCATAGATTAAAACGCTTGCGTTTAGTACTCTATATGCCTATCGATCAGCAACTGTTGGAACCGTTGAAACTCTGCCACCGATTAACGCATTTAACACTCAGTTTACGCCAAATGAGTGACAAATTACTGGATAATTGTGGTAAACATTGGCCGCGACTTCAGTACTTATCCATCAGTGCTAATGGCATGACTCGCGAGTGTTTGGATCACATCTCAAGACTACCGGCGCTGAAAATGCTTGTCATTTACTGCAATCAAGACATTGATCTCTCGGACAATGATTTCAATGATGTGTTGTCCAGAAGTCCTAAACTAAATAACATTAAATTCTGTGGAAATAGTGTTACGAAATATTATTGGCGTAAAAATGTGTAAATGGTTTCATTAATAAATACAATTGAATTAAAATATACTGTTAACCATCTATGACTTATAGTGAGTCAATCAATGCATTAAATAAGCTGTGTTTTTGTTCCAGGTTAATTTTTATAACAATCAATTTGTTAATTAAAAAATATTCTGTGATCTGAAACTATTGATTGGTATATAAATTGATGTACAGTGCAACCCCTCCATAGAGAACCCTCTCTACAACGAATACCCCTTCATAGCGAACGATTTGAAATCATTTGACGGATTCGCTATACATATAATGTTAATAAACCCCCTCTACAGCGAACCCCTCCATAACGAATACCTCTCTATA